ACTTCCTCAGGGAAGCCTTTCTAGAAAGATTAATTTGTGTCTCTTCTCCACTGAGCCATATGCACCATAAAGGCAAAGGTCATGTCCATTGTATTCACTCTTTTATAGGTAGTACTTTGTAGGCACCCAGAGAATATTTGTCAGATAAATGAATGCATATGATGAAGTGAATGAACATGAGTAATGTTGGTGCATGAAGTGCTGCAGAGTAATTATAGGCAGTCTTTAATTTGAGTTTTTAACAAGTGGTGCGTAGATTTACAAACCTGACTATACCATTTGGAGGTTTACATAGATTTTGCCATGAGAAAGTTCTTCCTGGGAAACAATATCGAGAATCACCAATTTGGGTCATAATAAATACATTTACAGATAGATATTCATGTAGCTATCAGGGATGCCCAACAAGAGGGCTCACATATGGATTCCTTCAGCTTTCAGAGAAGTAGGATAGAGCCTAGGGCAGCTGACCCAATTGGCACAATATGCTGTACCCACTTTCTATGAAAGTTATGACATAAAATAATTTCAAACGTGCTTCTATATGGGAGCAATTTGAAGCTGTTTTTTGTTGTTTGCTGCTTTTTTTTAAAGAAGTGATTGACATTTTCAAAAGCACATTGAATTGCATCAATGAGGCTAAACTTGAATCAGTCTAAAATACTATATGTTCATTCAGATTGCCACCAAAATGACATCAATTAAGTGTATATAATAGCATTATAAATATTTATAACATGATGGATGTTAAAATGAAAAAAGTAGAATATAAAGGCACTATAATTGTAAAACATAGTAACAGTTTTTATAGCTGTACTTAGACTGTGATTTTTATCTACCTTATTATATTATTTCTATTAAAGTGAAAATAAACATTTTAATAAAAATAGACATAATTATAAACAATACACTGACTTCCCCCCCCCCCTCTGCATGACCATAACCTGGAAATATAGCTGTGGCATATGTAAATCACCTTATTATAGTGCAATTTTTATATGAAATATTTTTATTATCAACTATTATAATTAGAAAGCTAAGTTGACAAATAAATATATATCAGTAGATATGTTTTTATTCAGAGAAAGAGCTGTTTTGCTTATAACTTCAGAGTACAATATTTAGCCATTAAGTCATCAATGATAGTATAACTTGAATCCCTCTTCTGTATATCTACCCCCAATACTTGAAAACACTTATTCATAAAGATGTAAGTACCCCTATGTTCATTGCAGCATGTTCTACAATAGGCAAGACAGAGAAAGAATTAGTGGATAAAGAAGAAGTGGTACATATATATATAATAGAATACTACTCAACCATTTCTGACAACATGGATGAATCTTGAAAGTATCATGTTAAGGAAAATAAGTCAGATGGAAAAGACAAGAACCATATGATTTCACCTATATGTGAGATATAAAACAGAAAGCCACAGGCAAACAAACAAACTTATAGACAAAGACAACAGTATAGTGGTTACTAGAGGGGAAGAAGGTGGGGAGAGGATGAAGAGGGTAAAAGGTGTCATATACATGGTGATACAAGGAGACTAGACTTTGGGTGGTGGGCACACACTAGAATATACAGATGATATATATAGAATTATACACCTAAAACATATAATATTACTAATTAATGTTACCCCAATAATTAAAACATATTTTATTTTTTAAGAAATAGTCTGTATTCATATATCAGAAATACTTGTAGTGAAGTAAAACATTTACGTTTTCTATTTGATATTTCTAGATGGTTATGTTTTTTACAAGACAAGGTATAGATGCGGAGAAAGGTCTCACCACCCAAATAGTGATATATCACAGTAAGTATCATATTTTGTTCTTAGAACTAAACAGTGAACATAATCATTGAGGTATACATCACTCTCTCTACTAAACTGCACATTTCTCCACGTTAGAAAATAGTTTTCTATTTGTAAAGCATAATCCTTAACCCATCATGTTTCTAAATGTTTATTAAATGAGTGCATATTCTCAAAGGGAAATAGTGTGTATCTTTCAGCATACATGCTACTTTCTACTCTAAGTGAGGTTTAAGGATCTTTAGCGTGATCTGGTGTTGTCTCTCCTAATGTCTTTGTGATTACAACTTCATATTTAGGAAGAGAAGCCCTTAGTGGATTGTTGGCAGCAATTATGAGATGCTTAAACATGCCATAAAGGCAAAGTTTCTGTCAAGAATCATTTCCTTTGTAGAAAATGCATCTCTTTAGATAGGCTGGGAGCACATATCCCACAATGGGGAGTTTTGAGAACTATTTCCCCAGGATAGTTCTCACAAGCCGAGCTTCCTGGACCAGCCACTCGAGCTGAATGCTTGGTGTGGTTTTTCTCAAAGGGATGATCTTTCATTGTGTGACTCATTAGGCCACTGGTACCTATTATGCTAATAGCATAACTGTTCCACACAACTGAGTTTCAAAACGTCTCAACTGAATCGTTCTTTATGGTCAGTACTTTTTTTTTCCTTTTTACCCAGATAGGCATGTTAGTGAGACGCTACCAACAAAAATTTCACATGGATAAATAATATGATCATTTTACTTGGATTTTAAGAAATACTAATCTTACCTTTAATGAATTTTGCAAAAGCTAGGGGACCTTTAAAAAATAAAGCTTACACAGTAGAGCCAAAGCAGCAGTTCAGTTCTAAGTGGCACAGGGTTTGTGATCTATTTAAAAATATTGTAGTATTAACAGAATTATAATGATACTTGGAAGAAATTATATCCTTGCCCTAATCTCTGCAATGTTGGCAAACCTTATAAGTTCCTGAAATACAAAGTGAAGGTTTACTGTATTTAAGATGAAAAAAATCCAACACAGAGAGACAAAACTATTAACCCATATTGAAGTTTATTTAACCTTGTTAATTCAACTAAAAAGCTTTCCCTGGGGAATAATTCACAATTTACCTCTCTTGAGTGACAGGATATCTAATTAAAAAGATGCTACCAACTTTAGAAATCTTCATATATGAATTATTAGAAAGCTATAAAGTGCTAATACTGTTAAAGGCATATGTACACCTCCCTCAATATGTATGTTAGTTTGTGTTTATGTATTTATGTATGTATTTATTTATTTGGCTATTTTGAGGAATAAAGGTTACATTATCAATCTCCCTAGAATTTGGATTAGTGGTTTTACATTTTTTTTCATCAAACTATTCCCATTTTTAAAATAATTATAAATATTAAGAAATGTGGATTATGCAGTCATTTGGATTTAGTACTAAATAAAAAAATTCAAACTGATCTTACTTTTAAAATTCAAGTATAAATATATAATGACTACTTTATAATGCTGTCAAATTTATGGTCAAATAGCAATATTTTGAACCACTCACTGGTTCAAAAAGTTTAATCATAATTAAACTTTCTTTTAACTAAATAATAATATTTTAATAAAAATTATATTTATGAATATTTTCCAGACCGGGTTTAATTTTTTGACATGCTATCAGAGTGAGAGTAGTTTGCCTACATAATGTTAGAAAATTCTTACAGATAAAACTATTTAACATTATAGATATGCAATATTATCTGCAAATCAAACCATATATCTAATGCATTAGGTTATGTTTCTAATGATTACTTGTACGACAATACAATTTATAATTTACAAAGTATTTTTCTGTGTCACCATCATTTAAATAACAAAAATACCATTTTAAAGTAAGACAATGAGATTAAGAGAGATGTAAGTTCTGACAAAGATCACTTGGTTGGAAATCAGAGAGCCAGGAGCAGATCCGAGGCTTCCGGCCCTTGTTCAGGGCCATATTTTCACATACTGACTGACTCTCTGCCAACATAAAGAACTGCCACCACCCCTCTTTCTAATTGTCTGAGTCTGAATCTCAGTGAGTTTGTTTTCTTATTATCTTTAGTTGAAACATGTGAAAGTGAACCCATAAATGCCCAGAATTCATGAGATGCACACAGTTATCTTTGCAAAGCCAAGAGCAAACCGAGGAGGATGCAACTAGCTCACAATCGCTTTCCATCACTGACCAAGTGCAAGCCTGTGACCAGCCTCATCACTGAGTAGAGGAAATCGAAGTTATGCAAAAACTTTAATCAGTGAATAGGTCTAAAGTTTAATAGGGAAAGAGAAGTAGATCAAAGAATACTTTAAGTTTAAAAAAAACCAATACAACCTTTGACTTTTTTTAGAACTAGACCAAATTTTTCATCTTCAGAGATTATCAAGACAAAAAATATTTTATTTCTTTTGGTTTTAGGTTATCACAAAACCAACTAATCAAATTCTGCCCCTGAACTATCTATTTACTGATACATTTTGTTGATTTAATCTTTCAGGTATCCTGTATGATATCAAATACAAAATTATTTTTACTCAAATTACTTCATCACAGAAGGGGAGGATTATATAGATCACAATTTTTAAAAAGTAACCTACAATTTTTGCAGAAAAAGCCAATGTGGAATTACTTCAAATATTTGTAAGGAAAAAAAAAGCTGTGTTTTAAAGCAAGTTATTCTAGGAGAGAAAATTGTATTTTGTTTTACAAAAATGAAAATTAGTGGGATATGTACTACCTCATAACATTCTGAAAACAGTGCCACCCAAGATCAATGTAAAGCAATGATGTATTCACTCAGGAAAATATTTTCCAGCCTTATTATTTTTCATACAATTTCACAAACAACTATTGAACACAACAACCATTCATTGAGAAAGTATTTTCAGTGGGAGAAATAATGTGTTTACACTCAATTTTTATGTTGAATTTTAAACTAACCATTTTCTTTGTTGAGATAATCTTCCATACAAAAGTAAGAATACTACGTAGTAATTACCTTGAATGGTTTGCTTCTCTTTCTTCTTACATAGTTTCTTCCCATCAGAGTGATGGACTTGGTTAAGTCCAAGCAAACATTTTATCTTATTTCTACTCAAAATCACTTTTTATATTAAGATTAAGGCCAAAGGGGAAAAAATGTCACTTACTTTGCTTTAGCTTCTGCATCCTCATATGCTTTATTAGAAACATCCTCCAATCCTCCAATCAAATGCTTGAAAGAGCTGTTAGAGGCAAAACATAGAGAAAAGCATAAATCCTCTATGAAGCTGTAACAATGACAACCTAGTCAATGATATATCAAAACACTCTAAAAGGATCTAATAAAAATTAAAACACTTAACCTAGAAACATTATTAATACACATATCAGATAATGATATCAACTCGTTGGGAGCAGGGACCTCTTCAGTCATGTTCATTTCTGTAGTTCCCACCACTGAGAACCATAGCTGGCAAAAGCCGATATTCAAAGAATTGGGTGAAATAAAGTCTATGGCACACTGATACATATGATAAAGTTAATAAGTCGATTACAATGGTGAAATAACAAGACCTATTAGTTATTAAATGCCTAGTGTATTCCAGGCACTATTCTTTTAATTCTCATGAACATATTTGCATTCCAATTCTGAAACAAACTAAAAAAATAAGAATCATTAACTCTACGTGAAATAGTAAAATAATCTTCAAAGGCAAAATAAGAACTAACAGGAGAGAATTATAGAAAAATCATCTCGTTCTGGAGAAGTGAAGGACTGACTTTAGCATAAACTGAGAAGAGTAATGTATCTGCTTAAACCCTATCTATTTAATATTCTATGTTCAGATCTACTTTATATAGTGAAGTCTCTTATATATCTATAAAATATTACAGAGTTGGAACAAATTAATACACACACAGGAATGACTCTTGAAAATTACCGAATGTAACACATACAGTAACTCTTATGCACACTACATTTTGGAAACCACTGAACTATAATGAATGAAGAAACAAAAGGCAAGTCTGTGTTTACAGAATCATCAGAGCCCTCCCTTACATGGTGCTTACATTGCTGGTATTGTTCTATACACTTTACATGTAGTAACAAATACTTCAATAGTTACAGATATCCTATGATTTAGTATCATCCCCATTTTGTAGATGAGGATACTAAGGAATGAGAGGTTAAGAAACTGACCTAAAGTCATGCAACCAAAAGACTGATAGGGAAGGAGTGGCCATTCTCTCTTATACTCTTACTAGAGGCCCGGTGCACAGAATTTGTGTACTCTGAGGCGGGGCGGGGTGGGGGGGGGGGCTCCCCAGCCTGGCCTGTGCCCTCTCACAGTGTGGGAGCCCCGCGATGGATCTCCCCAAAAAGGTAGGCCCCACCCACCCATCTGGGGCTCCTCAATGGATTGCCCCAAAAAGGTAGGCTGGAGCCGCGGGACCGCCTCTGCACCGCACATGCAGCGTCAAGTCTCCGCCCACCTGTGCGCACTTTTCCGCACACACAGCCCTGCCCACCCGCGTGCACCCGCTGCACACACAGCCTCCTGGTGATGGATTGTTACGGCGTGAGGGCATCACGGTGTGAGTGCATGATGACCACATAGGCTTTTATTAGTATAGATACCTATACTACAGCTCCCACCTAATCCCTGACTGTCTTGAAGATAACTGTCACTTTTCTAACAATATTTGAGGTACGTGTGGAGAGTTTTAAAGTGCTGAAAGAAATTGCAGTTTGATTTAAACCTCTATTATCTTAATGCATGCAGATGGCTTTGTATGTGGTATTAAAACAAGAAAATATGGATACTCGGGTTCTCAAACATAGTAGGATGTTTGCTGATTTAAATTTAAACATTGTTTAGTCACTTTAACATAAACTTTTTAAAAAAACCTATAAAGAAGAACCTGACAGTCTGCTTAGGACTGATTTGTGGTTGGGGGAGTAGCTGTTATTTCAAGCCCTTATATGATGATCTCATCTGGGGGACAGGGTAACTAATGCTGGCTAAATACAATATGTTTTTTTAAAAAAACTTCTTATTTATTGATTTTAGAGATGGGGGAATGGGGGGAGAGGAGAGAGAGAGAGAGAGAGAGAGAGAGAGAGAGAGAGAGAGAGAGAGATCTCCATCCATTGTTTTATCTATCCATGCATTCAGCGGTTGATTCTTATATGTGCTCTGACCAGAGAATCAAACCTGCAACATTGGCCTATCAGGATGATAACCTAATCAACCAACTGAGCTACCTGGCCAGGGCTACACTAATTATTTCTAATACAAAAAGAAAATGACCAGACAGAGGCCCAAGGAATCAATAATCTTTACTTAGAAAGCAATCCTGACTAAATAATATTTTTCAAAACAGGCAACAAATGCATCCTGAATTCTAAGTCTCCTTCACAAGAGATCAAGCATCATACTTAACTAAGAGTTTTAAGAAAATGTAGGATTTTCAAGCTATATTAAGAAGTTCCTGTGTGTCCGGCACTGATCATTGAATAATTTATCTTGCTAAACATAATTGATGACATTACAGAACACATCCCTCCTGGTGCAAGTAGGCACTAATTAGTGGTTCGGTTTTCCCTCACACTAATATCTGTAGGAACACCTGCTATCTGTGTGGACCTCATCAAACACATTTGGAAACTTATTACCTGTAAGTATCAGATGCCTTTTTAAATATTTACTCAGGTCCTCTGACATTTCTTGAATACTGAAGGAGAAGACTTGTTGATGCTTTATTTGGAGAGGGATTATGATGAAATGATTTGAAAACTTCAACTGAATGAGCAGAAACACTAAAATATTATGTATCAGTTACTATAACAAATATAAGAGACTATAGGAAAATCATGAAATTATTTTTAAACTAACAATTCACGAATGAGTTATATTTTAGTACCATAAAATAAAATAGCCGGTTTACCTATACTCTAGACATAATTTCAGAATAAATGAAGAAGACATTAGTGGGCAAAAGACTTTAACACAGAGTGTTTAAGGAAACCTTATTGCATGCACACTAAGTATGAGGCACTTTCCTGCTACTTTTCTTTGGGTGTGAAATCCAATTTTAACAAGCCTTGACAGAATGTTTTGATGAGGTAGATAAATTGTTATTCATTGAGTACACGGAGGTATAAGAGCAAATGGAAAATCTATTTTATGTTTAATGCTGTTAATTTAAACATACTTGCAAAGGAGGGGTAGAAAAGAAAGAAGGAAGGAGGGAGGGAGGAATGAGGGAAGAAGAGAGAAGGGAAGGAGGAGAGGGAGGAAAAAATGGCTGGATAAATGATGATCCTTTCACATTAAGAATGTTATTTATAAAAATTTTTCTTAATAGCTAACATTTAGCCCTGGCCTGTGTGGCTCAGGTGGTTGAGCATCGTCCCTGCACTAAGAGGTCACCAGTTCAATTCCTATTCAAGGCATATGCCCGGGTTGTGGGCTCAAGTCCCTGTAGGGGGCTTGCAGGAGGCAACCAATGGATGTTTCTCTCTCCCCCTCTCCTTCCCTCTCTAAAATCAATAAAACCATTTTTTTTAAAGAAATAACATTCAAAATGCTGTGTTTCTCATTCTAGGAAATTTGCCTGTTTTAGAACATTCGAGTGACAGTAACTCAGTGGGTAGTAATTTCATTTACTGATGTTTTCATTATTAAGCCAAAACATTCTTCTGAAGGGAGCTGATTACTTAGTGGTATGACTAAAAGTGTATAATTTTGTTCTTCAGTTGTGATATGATGAGACTTCATCTAGAGAGAAACAGGGTATTATTTATAAAATAGGCAGTCCAAATTTCAGAGACCAGCATTATCATGCTGCTAAGAAAATAACAGCATTGATATTTCACTTTGTAGTTTATAAAGCACTTTTTATATTCATATATTATGTATGCATTCAATCACTTATATTAGTCAATTTAGTCCTCATGATTTCCTATCCTCTATTCCACGATATTATTCAGGAATCTGGTAAGAAAATGTTTAAAATGCAACTTTTTCAAATTCAAAACAGGATGTGAGAAAAAATCTCAACACGAGTTCTTTTCTTGATTACATCCTTCAATAAGATGGTAATTTATTTTATTTTTTTAAAATATATTTTTATTGATTTCAGAGAGAAAGGGAGAGGGAGGAGTTAGATAGAAACATCAATGATGAGAGAATCATTGATCGGCCACCTCCTGCACACCCCCTATTGGGGATGGAGCCTGCAACCCGGGCATGTGCACTTGACTGAAATCAAACCCAGGACCCTTCAGTCTGCAGGCCGCTGTTCTACCCACTAAGCCAAACCTGCTAGGGTGGTAATCTATTCTTAACAGTTAAAATTAAGTCAAAATGAGGTAAGAGTAAAATCTTAAACCAGAAAACTATTGCAAATATTTCAATGGTGTTAAGCAAAATATTTGTCAAGCATTGCCTAAACTCCTGAGAAAACCCTCTTAATTTGAAAGGTGTATAAAATTACAGCTCATTAGAGTTTCCTAACCTGAATCTTGGCTAAGTCCCTTAAAATGTATTTACTCAAAGGAATGAGAAAGTGTCCAAAATTAGTTGGGGCTCTTGCTACTTAGCTAAGTCCAAGATTTTAGAGCAGTGGTTCTCAACCTTCCTAATGCCACGACCCTTTAATACAGTTCATGTTGTGGTGACCCCCAACCATAAAATTATTTTCATTGCTACTTCATAACTGTAATTTTGCTACTGTTATGAATTGTAATGTAAATATCTGATATGCAGGATGTATTTAGGCGACCCCTGTGAAAAGGTCATTCAACCCCCAAAGGGGTGGCGACCCACAGGTTGAGAACCTCTGTTTTAGAGGCATCCTTCATTATTTTGATACTTTGAATCGAGAAAAATCTGTTCATCCATTTTGTGGATTCAGGTAAAGGCGCTTATGTTTATTTTTTGTTTGCTTTATTTATAACTAGCAAAGTCATAATTATTCATTGATCATATTATCAAGAACCAAATGAATATATGTTTTCTCAGAGGGAATAGGAACCCCAAATACAGTAAAACCAAACAACATCCAAGTTCTGTCAATTATCCACCCACCCACCATATGTATTTATGCAATGCTGACTATCTATAAGGAATGGCTCAAGCTATTGTGGATTATGCAAAGAGAGTAAGATACACCCTTAAGAAAAGTATAGCCTTATATTAGAGATAAAACAAGGGATTAAAATACAAGGTAGGAGGTG